GTAGAGGCAGAAGTAGGAGTAGAGTAGAGTAAAGCTTTGTAATAGAGTAGAGCAGAAGTAGAGTATAGATAACGCATTAACGCTGTGTAGAGTAGCGAAGACTAGAGGTAGAGTAGAGGTAGAGTCGAGGCAGAAGTAGAAAGTAGAGTAGAGTAAAGCTGTGTAGAGTAGAGAAGAGTAGAGTAGAGAAGAGTGGAGTATAGCAGGGTAGTGTAGAGAAGAGGAGAGATTAGCAGAGTAGAGTAGAGCAAAGTACAGTAGAAGTAGAATTAGAACAGAGTAAAGCTGCGTAGAGTAGAGAAGACGCATGATGAGTAGAGTAGAGCAGAGTAACGTAGAGCAGAGTCGGGTAGAGGACAGTAGAGCAGAGCTGAGTAGAAGTGGAGTAGGGGTACAGGTAGGTAGCGGTAGAGTAGAAGTTGCGTAGGGGTAGATGTTGAGTAGAGTAGAGTCGAGAAAAGTAGAGAAGGGCAGGGAAGTTTGTAGAGTTAGGTTTTGCACAAAACATTGTTCTTTCGGGTAAACGGAGGTTACGTTGCGGAGAAAAGTTGGCTCGCGTGCGCAACCAGGTGAGCCGTCATCGCTTTACCGTGGAATCTGTCTCGAACTGCGCGCGCAATGTAAGTGACACTTTTTCCTCTTCTTTGCTGATGCTGTGCTTTTGTGTTTTGCATGTCAATTTGTGCAGATCGCAGTGGAATGGCTTCGCAAGCTTATCGAACTGCTACATCATGGATGCGCATCTGTGGCAGATCGCAACTGCTACATCATGGATGCGATTTGAATGTTAGGATTTGCATGAAACATTGTGTTTTTTCCGGGTAAACGGAAATTACGTTGCGGAGAAAAGTTGGCTCGCTTGCGCGACGGGATTAGGCGTCGCCGCTTTACCGTGGCATCTGTCTGGAACTGCGCGCGCAATGTACTGAGGGTTCCAGGTGACTTTTTCTCTTCTTTGTTGACGCTGTGCTATGGCTATGGTACTTTGCATGTGTTGAGACACTTTGTGCATTCGAACTGGTGCATCAAAGCGATGCGTTCTACTGTAGTGTGTTGCAATTCTTTTTGTCTTTTTTAGCTCGTGTCTGCTGATCGCAGTGGAATAGCTGCGTCAAGGTTCCTCACTGCTGCGGCTGCGTGCGAAATACTATTGTCTTTTGCAGCTGAGATTCGTAAATCGTATTGTAGTAGCGGCATGAAGGTTGCCAATGATGCTTTGGCAGCAGAATTTTTCCATTTTGGCGCTGATGATTCCCCTTTTAAGTTCCTTTCAAAAAGTGCTTCAAAATCGTCGTTTTTCCGCTTTGGCGTCGAGATCCAGTTTTGGAGCTGCAATTTGTGTAGCCGTCGTGCGTACTAGGTGTAAAAGCTTGCTGTGTGTAAAAGCTTCCATCTCTGTGAAAAGAGGTGATAAGAGTTGGCAAGAGTTGAGAAGAGTTGACAAGAGGTGACAAGAGTTGAGATGAGCTGAGAAAGAGGTGAGAACAGTTGAGCGGAGGTGAGACGCGGTGGGAAGAGTTGATAAGAGGTGGCACGAGGAGAGAAGAGTTGAGATGAGTTGAGAAGGTTTGAGAAGAGGTGAGCAGAGGCGAGAGTCGTTGACAAGAGTTGAGAAAAGCGGGGAAGAGGTGAAAAGAGTTGAGCTGATCGGAAGAGACGAAAAACTTTGAGAGCTGTTGCAAAGAGTTGCGAAAATTGAGAAGGGCTGAGATGGTCTGAGAAGAGCTGCGAAGAGCTGAGAAGTGGTGGTCACAGTTGAAAAGGGGTGAGGCAAGATGAGGACGAATTCACAGAACAGAATTCAGAAGATGTGAGGCCTCACTCCAGTTCCTATAGGCAAACCTTATCTTTGGATCCTATAGCGTCACAGTCCTTAAACCTGGAAACTTCCGCCACCCGCCTTGCGCGGGTTCTACTTGTATCTATAGACCGCATATATAGAATATGTACCTTCACACACACACATATATATATATATATCTCTCTCTCTCTCTCTCTCTCCCTCTCTCTCTCTCTCTGTATGTAATAATTACAATAATTGCAATAATCATCCAGATTGGTCCAACTGCCCGACGCTGCAGGTCTCCTATGTCGCCAAGGCCGTTTGCCACGCAGCCACTGTGGGGAGCGAGGCGCGGTTTGGAGCACTGGGATTCAATGACCCACAAACATGGTGAACATCGGAGCTTAACCATGTTTAACCAGCAAACAGGAGGATATTATCTAACATGTTTTGGGAGGATGGATTCATGATCTACTTTCTTTTTTGTGTTGTGGATTTCTGCTGATTCATGGATGATTCTATGCTTGGATATATAGCCACGGTTCAGTTCATTCAGGGATGGAGTTTTGTTATCCTGTGTTTCACCAGTCCAGTGATATGATCCTCTGATAATGCCAGCTTTGCGATTTTTATGATCTTGGTTGATTTCCCATTCCAGGCAATGGTTTATGTTACTTATCATGTTTTTCCTGTGGGAATGCAGGCATCGGCATTTTAGTTTTCCACTGGGAATCACCATTTCATGTGTTTTATTAAAATAAATACGGAGCATTGCGATTCCCTTTGGAAGTCTCACGCGGAACCAACGAAGTGGCCATATCAAACTGCAGAACATCATTGAACCCATTTCCAGATTGGGGGATGGGGATTTGCGACTATTGATAGATGTGGTTTCCTGTGTGGATAGTAAATTAATTACCAGAACTTCTTTTCAACAGCCAAATATAATTGGAACCCCAAAGGTTTGGGATGAGGTCTCCAAATATAGCATGGATCTAGGGCCACTTTTTTGGGGAGATTGTTTGGTGGCTGGAGAAACTCTGAAATGAATTCGCGCGCAATCTTTCTTAATCTGCCGTCTCGATATCCTTCAAGAACAAATTTGGCGTAATTGGCAGGAGTATAAAATTTGAAGAAAACCACAATGCGGGATGGGCTAATATCTAATCCCCAATATCTCATATCTTTCCCACCAACTAACAAGAGCCAGTTTCTGTAAGGGCAGCTGCCACTGGCAACCCAAGATAGCCCAAATAGTTTGCCCTGCCGAATCGTCACGGAACTGACCTGAAGACCCTGTGCAATGGGAGGCTTTGGTTCTTTGGGCTGATGTTTCCAAGTTGTGACCAACGGATCGCACCGTTTTCTTTATTTTTCTTTCAACATTTACAGTGGTTTCCCATGGTTTCCCCCTTAAAAATGCCGACCCTCTTCAGTTTCCATTGTTTTTTCACCTAGTGTTGTTTGTTTTCCCCGATTCCTGGAGGTCTCAGAGGCAATGCCCATCCTACTGGCGACCCTGGCGGGTGTTTGATGCAGATGTGGCATGGAAAAGAAACCGGATAACATGTGAGCACCCCCCCTCAAAAAAAAAACATAGTGTACATCGGGCATTATGTGGACACATCAACTGGCAGACCTGTTCTGATTTAAGGCCTTCAAGGCTTTAAGATGCTTTAAGGAGGAAATCACCGTGGGGAGATTTGACGAGATTTTGAGCAAACAGAACGAGTTTAGCAAAAAAAAACACGTTTTTAGCTACCAAGAACTCGGCAAATCTTACCCACCATTTGTGCTTCTTTTTGCAGTGCAAGGCCATGCTGATGCTCCGTGGGCCTAAGCTCTTACAGGCGTGCATGGGAATGGTTCCAGACCTGGATCTGCTGATCTGCTGATGATCTGCTGATGATTTTCTCTTATGTTAATCCACCATTTACTCCTTGCTAATTTAACATCGCCATGGAATCCATGACCCGTTTACCACGAAAAAAACATCGCTATTTTCCATAAAAATAGCTATACCGTAGGGTAGCTAATCTGGAACATATGAAAAAATCCCAACAGTGCCTCTTGGGTGGAAAATTCTCGATGCCGTAGGTCCGCACCGCAGCGCTAGACGCCCTGCAGTGGGGTGCACCCAGTGACTCTTGGGTAAACCTTGGTTGAGTAGGTGGATGGTTGCTGTTTTTCCGTAGTAAATGGTGCTATAAGCGGTGGTATAAATGCTGGTACAAATGGCGCTTTTTGCTTCTAACCAGCCGAACATGACAGCAGACAGCAGGATGGGTTCAGCCTGAATGTTGATTGGCTAAATCTGGAGCGCCCAGGGCAGGATCGGGGCCCCGACATGATGACCCATGAATGCCCATGAACATGGATAAGATGACCATAAGACGACCAACATTTTCTGTAGCATTTGAGGGACATTTTTGGAGGATAGGATCCCTGTGTGGAGGCATGGTTCTATTTACGGCTTAGGGGGGCAGCTGGCTTGGAACTGCGACCCAAGGAAAACCACAAACTGATCACCAACAGTGACTCCCTAGCAGTCATACTATGAAACCATGCATATCCCACTTAGATCTGGGCCTCCAAAATCCTCCAAGCATGTTACGACATGATGATCGCCAAGTGACAGAGAGATTGAGATGGGTTGAGGCGAACTACGGTATGATTTCATCATTTCCCCGACTTGCTTGAATCAGAAGGTACCATTTACATGAATCCTCCTATATGGCAGTGTGTCAAAACCTTGTACCCCTGGTGAACATCAAAATAGCTGGTAAATGGATGTTCATTCCCCTAAAAGTTGCATTTATAGGTATTGATCCATGGCCATATTTTAAAAATTATAGATGTATTTCATGGGATTTTTCCCATCGTTTTACCTCTTTCAAATCCTCCGAGCCCCAGCTGAGGTGCAGCTTACCACTGGCCTCTGGCGCGCGATCTCTGAGCGCTTTCCTGGCGGCTGGAGGCCTCTTCGTGCTGCTGAGCATGTTGTCGCCCTCCACCAAGCAGGGCAGCGAAGCGGAGGCACAGATGGAGCCGACTGGGGATGGATATCTTCAGCATCCCAGGAAGTTTTCGGAGTTGAAAACGATGATTTTTTGAGCCATAGAAATTGAATTGGGATGTATTCCGACTGAGATATGGCTTAGAATCCAGTTGCTAAATGGGCTTCACATCCACTTATTACGCATCATTTTTGGGGGCAGCTGACAATCAAACACAGATACGATGGGAAATCATACAATAATTCATTTTTCGCCGTGGTTAGAGGTTGAGATGAGTTGTCTGGCGCCAAGTGAGCCAGGTTTTCAGCACAAGGGGAGAATTTGATGAAGATGCCAATCTCCACCTGATCAAACCTATGACGTCTGGGGGTGTCAAAAATCAGGGATCGCAAGACGTTCTGCGAAGTATCCGTGTCCGAACCATAGTTTTTCTCTGACAATCTGACCCCCCCAATCGATCCCCAAGAAAAAAATGAAAGGGACATAAAAAATGAATATCCCAACCAACGCTGCATCCGGAGCATTCCCTTTGCGGCAACTCTCGGGCAGGTGGAACGGGCCGCTGAGCTGTTCGAAGATTTGCTGGCACAGCATGGTGTGGTGCCCAGGTGACGGGAATTTGACCATGTTTGACTTTAACATTTCAACAAATGGGGATGGGTCAAAACCCTGGTACCTAGTGAACCCCAAAATAGCTGGTAAATGGATGTTCATCCCAATAAAAATGTATCTATAGGTATTGACCCATACCCAAATACCCTCCGGTAACCAAAGATGTTTTGCTGGAAAATCCTCCATTTATGAGAGATGATTTTCCCAGAAACCAAACCGTTGATAGGGCATTTCCCATTGCTACGTTTGATTCGCGGAGGGTATTTTGACCTTAACATTTCCAGTTTCAACAACATGTCTTTCTTCGCAATCCACAGATTCACTGATGCTACCCTCTGGTAAACAGCCACATTGCTATGGAAAATAACCATGTTTAATGGGTAAATCAACTATTTCTATGGCCATTTTCAAAAGTTATGTTAAATTACCAGAGGGTACTCCAAACAACCCTGTACTCCATTGTCCAGGTGATGTCTTGGGTCCCTTGTTGGAGGCGCTGGGATGCTGGGACAGACTTGATATATATATATATATAATATACATATAATATATATGATATTATATATATATATATATCTTTATATATATATATTATATAATATATATATATATATCATATATATTATATGTATATATATTATATATATATATATATATTATATGTGTATATATATAATATATATATATATAATGTATATATATATATATATAATGTATATATATATATATATATTATAAGATGATGGCTGACTTCGGAAGCAGGGACAGCAATCCCCAAAAGGAAAGCAGAACCTTCCAGCCAAGCAGGATGACAAACACTTGATGAAACTTGGGTTTGAACATATGGATGATTTTCTGATTGGAGAAAAGATAGAGTAATTAATTTCCATTATGTGGGGACGGGTCTTGATTCGGGGCGATTGCTTGATAGGGGCATGCATAACTGAACTACTCGTTTTTCCCGAATGCGTAGCAAGGGTTCCCGTTTCACTCTGGGGGTCTGGGGGTTGAGGGTGTGTTCGCTCGACGTTGCGTTCACGGTCGCAACCGTTCGCAACCGTTCGCAACCGTCCGTGTGAGGACCGTATGGCCGTGCCTATGGTAAGTTCTGCAGAGGTGGTCATTTTTGGAGGTTTCAGACGTCTCGTTGCTTCCTTTCGCGTGGCAGGTGTGGCACTTCGTGACATTCAGACGTGTTTTGTAGCGTGTCGAAGGTCGTGTTTTGTGGCAGGCGCAATACTTTTGCGACGTTTTCAGAAGATGTGTTGCATTTTTCGTGGCAGGCGCAGCACTTTTGACGTGTCCATCGTCATTTTTCGTGGCAGGCGCGGCACTTTAGACGTGTCGTGTTGCGTGTTTTTTGTAAATCGCAATGGTAGGGCTGCGTCAAGTGGCGACAAGGTGCAAATTCCGTGGCAGCCGTGGCATTTTGTGCGATGTGCTGAAAATTGACGGAAGCCTAGCACGAAACATCGATTTTGAAGTTGCAAATTTTCATGTTCTAAGGAAAAGTGTGAAAATTGGAGGAAGTCTGGCACGAAATACTCGTTTTGGTGCTCCCACCTGTCTCGTCTCGCGTCTCTGGTTTTCCTGTGGCCTCGCCGTGTCTATGGGGGAAGCTGCAAAAACTTGTCCTTTTGTCATGTTGCCAACTGTGAAAATTGGAGGAAGTCTCGTACGAAATGCTGGTTTTTCTGCATCCACGTGTCTTGTCTCGAGTCGCTGGTTTTCCTGTGGCGTCGCCGTGTCTATGGGGGAAGCTGCAAAACCTTTCCTTTTCAAAGGTTTTCAGGCAGGTTGTCATGTCGTTTTGCATGGCAGGCGTGGCGCTTTGTGACATTCCAACCTGTTTTAAACCGTGTCGAAAGTTCTTTTGTGTGGCTGGCGCAACAACGCACTCCACACTTTACACTCTACACTTCACACTCCACACTCTACACTCCACACTCTACACTCCACACTCCACACTCTACACTCCACACTCCACACTCCACCACACTACACTTTACACACTCCACCACAATTTACACTTTACACACTCCACACTCCTCACTCCACACTTTACACTCCACACTCCACACTCTACACTCCTCACTCCACACTTTACACTCGTCACTTTACACTCTACACTCCACACTCTACACTTTACACTCTACACTTTACACTCTACACTCCACACTCCACACTTTACACTTTACACTCTACACTCCGCACTCCACACTTTACACTCCTCACTTTACACTCCACACTCCACACTCCACACTCTACACACCACACTCTACACTTTCCACTCCACATTTCACATTCCACACTCTACACTTTACACTCCACACTCCACACTTTACACTTTACACTTTACACTCCTCACTCCACACTCTACACTCCACACTCCCCACTTTACACTCCATACTCCACACTCTACACTTTCCACTCCACACTCCGCACTCCACACTTTACTGTACATTCCACACTCCACACTTTATACTTTACACTCCTCACTCCACACTCCACACTTTACACTCCACACTTTACACTCCACACTCCACACTCTACACACCACACTCTACACTTTCCACTCCACACTTTACACATTACACTCTACACTTTACACTCCACACCTCACACTCTACAATCTACAAACTCCACACTCCTCACTCCACACTTTACACTTTACACTCTACACTTTACACTCCACACCTCACACTCTACAATCTACAAACTCCACATTCCTCACTCCACACTTTACACTCCTCACTTTACACTCCACACTCCACACTCCACACTTTGCACTTTACACTCCTCACTCCACACTCTACACTCTACACTCCACACTCCACACTCTACACTCCACACTCTACACTTTACACTCCATACTCCACACTCTACACTTTACACTCCGCATTCTACACTTTACACACTCTACACTCCCCACTCCACACTTTACACTCCACACTCCTTACTTCACACTCCACACTCCACACTCTACACTTTCCACTCCACACTGCAGACTGGTAACAAGGGAAACATGTACAAGACTGTTCAAATTAACTATTGCAGAAAGAAAGGTATTGTGCGTGACTGCATAACCATGTGTTTTGACATCTGTGCCATTAACATACGTGTGAGCATTCGGGTTCGTGGGCTTCATCTTGTTTTTTTCCCGTGAAGGTACCAAGGACCGAATCGGGAATCCTCCTGAAAACAAACGCGAAACATCTTCGAACTCCCCAAAGACTTTTTTTTGATTCGACATGGTTCTTTGATGTTCTTTGTTCCAGAATGTTCCAGAAAACACACACCCCACTGTATGCTCTGGTCAACACACATGGCGATGGACATTTGCTGACATTAAAGAGGAACCAAATGGATCCACATGGTGCCAATCCTCGCATCAGATGGTTTGACTAAATGGGTACCTCAAAGATCATGGTGCCAATCCCACGGGTTGTTCCATCAAATCCCCAAAAAACTCCCTAGAATCACCATGGCTCCTTGCTGCAGTGCAGTCGGCACTGAGATGGGGTTTGGCGCCGGGCAACCTTGGTTTGGTAGGTTCATGGATGAATATGTGGCTACAAATATCTACAGATACCCAGAAGATTCCAGAAACGTGTATGAATAGATATATCTATCGAGACAAAGATCTACCTCCAAATCACATGGAACTTGTAGAAATATCGACGAACATGGAATTTTCCATCCCGAGCCACACATCGAATTTCACTGCCTTGGTGTTTGTTCATTAGTATCAGCTGCAGGAGTGTGAGCCTTCAAGCCTCTTACAAAAGCTGGCGTCCGGGGACCCGAGCGATGCCCTGCTTTCGCGCAGATTGCCTTACTGAGTTCGGAAGGTATGCCACATGGACGGAACGGCTCGGAATTGATAGGACTTTAGGTCCGCAGAGCTCAGTTCTGGTGGGATGATGTGGTTACCATGAGCTGTTTAAATGTTGCATGAACTGCAAAGAACTCACAATTGGTCTGTCTGCACCTAGTCTATTGCAGCCAGAGGATACCCAAGATGTTCTCTCAAAATCTCCATCCAGAAAAAAGGGTCCTTTAAGCGTCAACACTGCTCATTACAAGCACGGCTCATTCAACTTAATTGCTGCATTTTCCGCTGCATTTTTCGCCATTGTTGCATTGTTGATCCTATCTTAGATAAACCCAGATGGAAATTTTGAAGATCCAGCAGCAACGACCCTCCGTTCCACGATGGCCATATCAGATTTTTACAGGCCAGAAGCATTGATTGATTCCGAATCCATTGGTTTTTTCGGCAAAAATTATACCACCAAAATTGATATCCATTGATTTGCTTAGTGTTCAATCAACAGTTCAACATCCTTTAGTAAAAAAAACAACATAATGATGCCGTCGCCCGTTGAGGCGGGATTCCAGGTCCTCCACCAAGACGAAGCAACACGTGTCCTGGTTTGGATAATTTTGCCGAAGTCATTGGAGAAAATATGGAGAACATACGGAGAAAATATGAGAAAATACAGAATATATATATATTATATATATTATATATATATTATATATATATATTATATTATATATATATAATATATTATATATTATATATATTATATATTATATATTATATATTATATATTATATATTATATATTATATATTATATATTATATATATATTATATATTATATATTATATATTATATATTATATATTATATATATATTATATATTATATATATATTATATATTATATATATATTATATTATATATGTCTATTTTTCAACAACATATTTTGAATTTAGATGAATTTACATGAATTTACATGGTAAATTATGAAGAAAAGCCGGGGGATACGAAACATGGGGAGTTCACCTAAAACGGAGATGGTATGCCAGACTGGGACTGGGGCGGATGCCTGATATTTCACTCGACTTTCCGTAAATGGGCTAGTCGATTCCCAGCCAATTTTTCAGCCTGTCCGGCACAAGTCCTATCCCACACAGTGGTGGTTGGATGTGGTTGGTAGGAAGGGAAGCCCTGCCGATTTGATCCTCAGAAACACCGAAAAAAACAGCGTATCCCGCGGGCTTCATGATCTGGTCATATCTGGTCTTGGGCGGTCTTGGGGCTGATGATCATATACCCTCTGGTAAATTAACATAGACCCTGGCAGATAGGGGTTGGAAGATTAGTTTCCATTAAAACTAGGCTATTTTCAGGGTCTATGTTAATTTACCAGAGGGTACCATCCTTAAAACTAACACCCACCATGTGTAGATCATTTTCCTAGGGAAACCATCGGTTTTCCACATCTATGTTAGGTGACAGGAAGGTAAAACCCAATAAGAGTCGCAGTAAACATTATGGTATTGGAGGTAGGCCAACAATTACTGTACCCAATAAGAAAATTTTTCACGTCTATTTTTTTTTCCCTACCAACCTAACCATTAGTTCTCCAGGCTTTGGCTGGTCGAAGGGCGTTGGAGTCAGGGCTCCCAAGGGGGGGAACCAAGTTTTTACGGTACGGATGGGTAGGGGGCGTTGAAGCACCCACGAAAAAAAACATGATTTGTTTGTAGAACAATCTTCTTTTGGTTAGGATATTTTAAGGGTCGATCATCTCCGATCAACCAAAGTAGATGATGAGATATCTACACTTTGGCATCCTACTCAAGATGAAACTCTTCCTACAGATTCTTCGTAGATACCTCCGTGTTTTCTCAACACTTCAGCAGCATCCAGAGAAATCAAAGGAATGGTCGGATTTGTGGATCATCATGTCATCAGATCAAATTTCATCCCTCAAAATCCAGAAAATGATGGGTTTCTCCGCCCAAAAATGCTGCGATGTTCCAGATGTTCCATGGATTTTTTTGGATATCTTTAAAGGATCCCTAGGTTTCGCTCCCCCGAAACAAGGGTAAAAAACTCAGAACGGCGTGATAGGCGTCCGGCCGAGCCCATGACTGGGCTACCTGGACCCCGTCCTCCCAAAGCACCTGGGATGGACACGCGCAGGTGCCAATGGGGATGTTGAGAGGAGTTTGCAGCACTGGAGAATTTGTTGTTTTCCTTTCCTTTTTTTTGAATGTCTTTAAGATGTTTTAAGATTTTCCGGTCTTTTGACAGGGCATTGCTGTGCTTTAGTTTTTGACAGATGTTTTTTGTCAGTGTTAAGAACTCCTCGGCACGAGTGTTCTTTTCAGCCACTAGATAGGATCATACTCAATAGATGGGCTTTGCGACCCGAAAAAATTGACCCACACCCACATGTTTGATGTTGTTTTTCGTGCTGCAAGTCCTCTTCAAGTTTCAGCCAACACTTTCACAAGGGTTTCCATATAGGGTGACAGTGTGTGTGTATGGGTACTGGGTCTACACCTCGATTTTTTGTGGACCCAGTGAAACAGATGGGTTAACAAATCATCCAGCGGTGTAGATCTCGTAGTCAATTTTGCCGTCCATTTTGCTCTGGGATGATCGCACCATAATTTAGATGATTAGTAGATATTAGTAGATTATAGTACATTATTGACTAATAGATATAGTAGAAATTATAGTCAAGACTCAATAATTATAACTATAACCTACTATAACTATTATCACTATACTAATCAATGGCCATTTCAGGAACCTAAATTGGAGGTACCTACCATATATAAGGTAATATCCCATTGAACTAATGGTTATTCTGGTGGGTCTTTTCCTGCGGGATGAAACTCGAAACCGCTTTTCGTGGTGAGTTTCCTCATTGAAGGCTGCAATCTGCTGGAGCGCAAGCAGTGGGAGGATACTCTCCGTCAGGCGAAGGGGCCCTGAAAACAACATTGGTATTGTGGGAAGCTTCAAACATGACCTTATATCATCTTATATCATCATTATATTTTATTTGGGATTGATGTGTTTTTTTTTTCTCTCTCTCTCTCTCTGTATGATTCTGCAAGATTCTGGCCATTGTCTCCTAGTGTTCCGTTCCCGCGGGGCCCGTCAAGCCCGTGGGGCCCGTGGGGCCAGGGCAGGGTCAATGAATGCCTTTTGTTTTCTGGTCTTCTTCTACGAACTCCTCTGTGTGACTGTCGGTGCCCGAACTTACCTGTAATTTCAATTATTTTGCATATGATTAATGATTGTTTCTAATATACTTCTATCATCTTCTACCTAAGTGTATAAGTATATGTGTATAAGTATGTGTGTATAAGTATATGTATATAAAGATATGTGTATATAAAGATATATGTATATAAAGATATGTGTATATAAAGATATATGTATATAAAGATAAATGCAGAGCTCAGATATCTTTAAAGTATATGATCCAACCCCTTCTACTTGTGAAATCCCAAGATGCACTGCCGTGTTTTCGCGCCATAAAATATATGAATGGACCACTGGGAGGGAGCGAACCGCTCTGTGTGCGGAAGTTTCCAAGCATACCCCCAGTGGTCAATACTAGATATGATGGTATGGTGTGCTGATTGGATTGCTTTCATTTCAAATTTGAAGTATTCAAGTGAAATTTGTTCATGCTGCCTTTTGCTTCTGCTAATGATGATGCGCTGACTATTTTTTTGCTATAGATGATGATGAACCCCACCCACATATATTATAATATCTAAAAATTATTCTCTGTTTCTTTTGAAAATTCTTACCCCTCCACATTTGACGAAAATAAAATCTATGAGACAATAGAATGCCAGAAGATTTGCCAGATAGAATGCCAGAAAATATGCCAGAAGATATGCCAGATAGATATGCCAGAAGATATGCCAGAAGAAATGCCAGAAGATATGCCAGAAGATATGTCAGAATATATGCCAGAAGATATGTCAGATAGAATGCCAGAAGATATGTCAGAATATATGCCAGAAGATATGCCAGATTGAATGCCAGAAGATATGTCAGATAGAATGCCAGAAGATATGCCAGATAGAATGCCAGAAGATTTGCCAGATAGAATGCCAGAAGATATGCCAGGTCATATGCCAGAAGATATGCCAAATAGAATGTCAGAAGATATGTCAGATAGAATGCCAGAAGATTTGCCAGTAAGAAAATGTATAAATGTCATGGTGGGGATCACACGAAGTAAAGTAATTTTGCTTAAAGCTTTGTAGCTAAATCTTCGTGTGCAGCAGCTTGATAAGAAAGCTTTTCAGACATGTTCATGTCCATGGCACAAGTTCTTGGTGGCAGAAATTGTTAAGAAAATGTGGTAGACATGTTCAGGTCCGGGGCATAAGTTCCGTGCCCCCGTGGGCCCGTGAGCCCGTGGGCCCGTGGTCCGGG